GAGCGTTGCCCCCGCCCGGCGGTGGCTCTTGTTATAAATTGGGATAATGAACCCTTCGAGTCAGTATTTTGGAATAATGCCAGAGTCTGATACTAAGTTGAAGAGTTTATTATAAATAGGTAAAAGCAGGTCTTTTGTCGATTTAATATATCATCCGCGGGACTGCAAGCTTTTCCGTTATTTAAATTTCTCATACATCTTAAAATTTCAGCATCAGAGATAGGTGCATCTAAATATTGGTAAGAATGTTCGAAATAATCATGGAATAAAAAACAATCATCTTCCTCATCAATATAGATTTTTTATTATTAATATTTGTTTTTAAAATGAAAAAAATCTGTAGTTGTGAGTGTGTAATCATCCTTTGATTTCGGTTTAAGTATTTTAAGGAGTTTCTAGTATTGCTTCGCATTTTTGTCATGCATAAATCTGAGTCTATTACCGTTTTTGTGTTTAAAATTCTTACTATAATAATTCATAACGCGTTTATATTCTTTACTTGCATTTTGAAATCGCAACTTATTATCAGTAGTACGCTGACAACGATATTAAGAATTTGCGTTATGATAGTTTTGTCTCGCCCTATGGCATTTAGGGTCGAACCAAGGTGTATTTTTCCCCCGGGAGGCAAATGTACTTTCGAATTTAAACGTTTTATTGGACGTATTTTGGAACAAATTTTGTAATTCGTTCCAACTGTTTCAGCTATTTGTTCGGTTTCCTTGGATTGGTTTAAAAATAATTGTAATATTTGGCCAATATTATTTGCGTCTACATTTTTTACAAAATTCGGAACGTTTATCGTCTTGCCATCGAGGTTTTGCTGTAAGAGTGCATTTATAGTGTACTTTGCCCATTAGAGAAAAGTGCATCAGTCCCTTTGATTTCAAAAGTGTTCAAAAAAGAAAAGCATTTGGCAGTAACGATCAGATAATCAATTACCGATATTTCTCGAAAAGTAAAATTCCCTTGTAAATCTTTATCATATCGTCCATTAACAATAAATAAATTATTGTTTCTGCATAAATCTATTAAGATCATACCATTGGGATTATTTTCTTGTCCATCGATTTCCTGTCTAAATTTATTGACAATTTTTTAAGGATTTCATAATTATCTAAATAGGAAATAGACTCCTCGTCGATTTCGAACATGTCGTTTAGAAAGGAGTCTGAGGGGAGATAATCTGCAAGTACCGCAACTTTTGCATTCATGTCACCAGTACACACAGTCACATAGTCTTCAATATATACCAAAACTTTATTATCAAGATGAGTTTCTATAGTACAGAAAAAAATCAAAGCAATTAACAAATTCTAGAAAATCTGGAAAATCAATGCGTTTTTTAAATCATGTACATTCAAACAATAGACTAAATATCAGTAATATCATCACATATCGTTCAGGAAGAATTCTGTCCTTATCACAGTTATCAGAGTTCCTGTTTCCTTTGGTATAGGTTATATTGGTGTCTTTCCATGGCCTCGAGAATTTATCAATCTGGGAGTTACAACGATTGTGCTGAGATTCCCTCCTGGGTGCTCGACCTCGTGAACGCGGTGATAAAGGGTTTTTCCTTGTTGGATGAAATTGACTCTCTCCTGTTGCGAGCCGTGTTTCGTGAGGATGACGTAGAAACTTGTCGTATCCTTTGATACTCGCCTGCTCGTCTGTCATGCACTGTCCGCATTTGTCCTGGTCACGTGACTATTCAGTGACTCATTTTGTTTATTTGGAGTATTACTACGCGCCCTCTTTGTACTGAATGACGTATTATACGACCCCCGTACAAGTTTGAAGTGTTTTTTCTTCGGCATTATTATATTGATATTTGTCGAGTAAATATCTGATTTATATACTGGACTTAACTGTAATACAAACAACACTTCAATTGATTTCAATATATTCTGATTGCAAATAGGAGATACTTCTATTTTCTATTGATTTACATCGGAAAAGTCACGGTAAGGTTTATTTAATAATGACATATAAAGGTTTATTTAGTCTACGGTAATCGCGTTTTCATTTTGGTGTCTGCAATCTTTACTTTATTGATACTTGTTGGTATACGGTATTTTTTTATATATGCAAAATTGTTTGAAAACCATTTTTATAGTTGTTATAGATGTCCCATTCGTGTTTAAATATTAAAATAGTTTTGATAGAGTGTTTACAGAGGCGTTTCAATCTAACCCCAAAGCGTATGTGACAAAAGTAAGATAATGCCAGAAACATCTTGTACACTTAAAATCTATATTTACAGACTCTATTGAACCAAGCAAAATTGAAAGCAGGACGAGTCGTAAGTATGATAATAAACTTATGTTTTTACTGTATTTTATTAATGAAAATATAAGATAATGTTGAATCATTTTAAAATACAACAAGAGCCATGTCAACATGACCATCCCCCGCTGAATGTGTTTGCTCATTGGATGAATGTAAATGTAGTAGAGCAGAATAATTAAAATTTAAGAGGTCTTTTGGTAATGAAAACTGATGGCTGAAGTGATTTCAGATTTGAAACCTATGTGAATATTGATGGCTGAAAATAACAAAGGGCAATATCTGAAAAATAATGCAAGGTAGGTTATCATTCTTGTGTGCTGCACCCCTTCTAAGTAAAATCTATCCACCTATCAAAAATTGAATAGGGAAGAGTTATAATTCTTGCGCACAGCATTCCTCCTCAATAAGATCTACCCACCTATGACATTTCATGTTGACATCTCAAACACTTTTGAGTTATGCTCCGCTCAGGTGAAAAATTAAGTATGAAAAATAACAAAGGGCAATAACTCAAAATTTATGAAAGGAAGAGTTATCATTCTTGTGCACTGTACACCTCCTGAGTGAGATCTATGCTCCTATGAAGTTTCATGTTGATATCTCAAAGGCTTTTTGAGTTATGCTTTGGACAAAATTTAATTTTGAAAATAACAAAGGGCAATAACTCAAAAATTATACAGGGTAGAGTTATCATTCTTGTGTACTGCACTCCTCCTCAATGAGGTCTATCTACTTATGAAGTTTCAAGTTGATAGCTCAAATACTCTTTGAGATTTGCTCCGGACAAAAATGTCGGACGGTCGGACGGAAGGAAGGACGAAGACTATTTCTATATCCCCCGCCGCCTTTTGGCGGGGGATAATAAACAGCGCATGTTCATAGGAACATCCAAAAGTTACGTACGCGTTAATGATTTTAAGAACGTTATAGTTAATGATAAAAATGTGTTTCTTGCTTGAAGTCATTTTTCCAAAAGATTTTGAAACTTTATTAAAAAATTATTGTTTAGTTTGAATGGAAACGAGGCTACATTTATCGTATATCCGTTTTTCTTTTGAATAAGGCGAAACAGTTTTAATAATGCTGGATGAAAAAGAACATTAAATGCTTTTAAAATTCGAATTATTTGTAGCAGAAGTTGTTAGAGTATTTATTGTATGGAATGAGCTGGATGGCGTTTGATCATTTTTAATTATGTGTTTAGTCAATATACTTTGAATTGTCATTTGTTTGGTATTGTGTCATATATAATCACTAACGTAGTTTAAAGGATTTGGATTTTTTTTTAGAAAGAACAGCATAAAAATCTAATGTTTTTTATAGATTTCTTCAGATAGAAATACGAAATTGTGTGTATTGAAAATTTTATAGTCGTGAATTGAGAAACAATTGAAAAATGAATAACAACTATAAGACTTAAGGTCGTAATCTATATCCATTTATACAAGGTAAATGTCGCAAGACTTGATGAAATGTCAAGATTTTGTTCGCATTATACATGATATGCTCATTTTGTCAACAAATTTTATAATCATAACGAATTTGAGACTTTTTTATCACATGAAATTCATAGAGATAACTTTTCGACGTACGCGAGTGATATTGTGAGATTATTTTACATTTTTGGCTCAATACTGACTCCTTTTGGACGACTTTGCAGCTATTGAACCTATATTTGCGTCTGATACATGTTTTGCAGTTGCACGAGTCTTTAAAACACTGTTTAACTCAATATTGTCTTTAGCCCACCTGAACACGAAGTCGAAGTGGTAAAGGTCAGGCATAGCGATGTATATATGAACGGAGTCCGTCGTCGTGAGAAGTGCGTCGTCAACACTTAAGCAGTCACAGTTTATGTAATGTAATCAAACTTTGTTAGAATGTTTGTCTCAACAGGTCATGTTTGAATACTACACAACAGCAGATGTCAATTGTTGTATTGCAGCTGTAAAAAGTTGCCCCATACTTCACTGCAGTGTTGTTATATTTTTCTTGTCCTTCGGGATCATTGATGCCAGGCATTATGAAGTGTTAAAAAATGAGTACCACTCAAGCCGGTGCTAAGGGGCGTGAGAAAAGCACTTATTCATTACCCCTCATCAAATCGAGTCAGCATTTTTTGTGCTGTTTGCTTTTGAGGGATCACTTTGTCTCCATATTTTAATCTCATGTCAAAAAATTTGTCAAAGTAGCTAAAAATAGTGTTTTTTTTTTAAATAGTCTATAGCTAGTAGTTATTGTTTTTAGCAAAATTTCTTGAATATTGGACAGAAAGTTTTTTTTTTACATGTTTTTAAGTCAAGTTTGGAAATTGGTCAGCTGGGGTGAAAAACTTACATGGATAACAATGGATCAAAAACTAGGTCACACGGCGCAAATATGTCAAAACATTATTAAAACTCTAAAGTCTACTGTTTTTATCCTAACAATTGGTGAGAAATGTTGTTTTGATAATTTCTAGGTCAAGTTCGAATATAAGTATGCTGTTGTCAAAAACTCGTTTATACAGCACCAATATGGAACATCCTTCTTAACACCTTTGAGGCTTCTTTTCTGATCGTAATATCATGGGAATTAGTCAGAAATATTGCTATGTTGATTTCTAGGTCAGGATCCATTATGGGTCATATGCGGCAAGAAGAACCTTTGTTTCAGTCCAAATACCCTGAACATTGATCAGAAAGGTTGCTTTTGTTTTGATGATTTCAGGGTCAAGTTTGGTCACTTCTTGGTGCTTATCTCATGTCAAAGATTGAAGTTGCAGTTGCAGGAAAAGTCTTCATACTTTCTGCTCACCCATCAAACACATGGTGTCTCAAATTAAGTCAAATAATACTTAACACATATAAGCAACACAATAAAGAATATGTAAACATATATTTGTGTGTTTAGCAGACATTCAACAACATGTGTAATATATATTTTAGAGATTCTGAAGACAGGTGTCAAAGATGAAGATGCAGTCGACATACACGACCCCCGTAAGTGATCTTAGAATGTTAACTTTTAAACAGGAATATCAAAATAAAGTATGAAAGCTTGTTTTATAAATTTGCTGACACTGTCTCCGTTTGCTACATGAACTAATCAATTCTGATTGATTGTTCATCGAGACCTTTAATGTCAATTACTTCGGTTCTGTTTCCTGGATCATTCATACAATTTGCTGATATATGAGGAAACATGTTTTTTCCAAGCAAATATTAAATCCTATTATGTTTACTTTCTTGTTATTTACTACATCTTAGCAGGTATAGAAAATATAAGAAACTTTTAGTAATTCGTTTGTTACGTTTTAAAAGGTAAACTTTCTAAATTAGATTTGTATGAATATTCCTTTTATACTTGCAAAAATACGAACATATTGGACATCACAGAGGCATTTGCATTTGTAACTATGTAGCTGCTGTTCATCTGTGATAATACAAATTTTCCTCATGAATTTTGCACAATGTGCTTGCAGCAAGTTGGTTGAGTTTTTATATCAAAACAAGGTCGCAAGCTAATAATTTGAATTATTTTTTTAAGCAGTAGAAATATATCTTAAAGATTAAACAATATCTTAATGACAATGTCAAACTTTTCATGTATTGAACAATTTCGTTTTCAGACATTTTGGCTAAAGAAAAGAATATGTAAATATTTGTATGAATATTATCTTGTGTATGTAGAAATTGTTTATAAGTAATTCAAAACTTTTCGGACTTTTCCTTCCAACTAAGGAAAATTCGAAATCAGTGATGTGTCCCAACAGGTTGCTTCAAGGTGATTCACAAACCAATTCTATTTGTCGAAAACCAATTTAAATCCCTGAAATATTTCAAAATCATTCCAATGTTCATAAACAACAATTTAGAAAAGCAAGCAATGCATTCCATTTCTTCAGTTCCGTTTCCTGGATCATTTATTTTGTGTCAGATAAGGAAACATGGTTGTTTCCAAAAAAAAAATGTTTATTTTTTAATGTTTACTTTCTTACATTTTAAATTACTACATCTTAGCAGGTACAAAATAAATATTCAGTAATGTTTCGTAATTCGCTACTTAAGTTTTACTAGGTAAAAATTCAAATTAGACGGTATCTCAAATAAATATTCTTTTTATACCTACGAGTATATTAAATTCACCGAAGCAACAACAACGCAAACACACTGGACATCTCCGTCTTGTATATAGTCGCATAAATTAGAAACATATTATGCAATAACATTGAGGATGCTAACATGATTTCACGATAATTACAGTCTGCAAAAATTGTTCACTTTATATATTATAGAGGTAACAGTTCAAGCAAAAGTCTTCATACTTCTTGATTATCACTCAAACACGTGCTCTTTTAATTAAAGTAAAATAATGCTTTACCAGTTTTAGCAAAACAATGATTTACATACATCAGTTGAACAGTACAAGAAGTATTGTGTATTAAACGGTTCGTAATTCGCTAGATAAATTTTACTAGAAACCATTTCTAATTAAGACGGTATATTAATTGTGTAATCTTTTCATATCTGTATAAAGTTCACCAAGCAACAACAACATGAACATAATAGAAATTACCGAGGCAATTGCTTAAGTCACTAAGCAGCTGCTGTTATATGTGAAAATAGAGTATATCCTCCTTAGGTTTTGAACAGTTTCTTTGCAAAAAAATATGTTGAGTTATTATATCAAAACAAGGTAACCTAAGAATATAAAGCTTTTATGTCGCGAGCTTATAATTATATCCCCACAATCGAAATTTAGGGTGGACGGTATATAGGAGTCATATTGTCGCGTGCCAGCAGTACAGGGCTTAAACAGGAGTTGTTTGTTGATCTATTTTGGTAGCGCTATCTTTTGCAATCTTATAGGGACGTTACTGTACTAATGGTTCAAATTAATAAGGCAAAGACTTTAAGGATGAGACATCTGCATGCAGTTGAACCATATATGTATATGAAAAATGTAGTACAAATCAGATATAACACTTCTACAAATTTTATTTTGTGTATAAATAAATGTCATCACATAATATAATATATAATAGTTATTATAGCAGCAATTGTCACAATTATTCAAAGAAAAATGATGAACAATGCTCATTTGTAATTAAATACACACAGACTTCAGTTATTAAGATGTTGTTACAACATATGAGTTTGTTAACTTATTATACTTTTGAATAATTTACTATAGCACAGCACAGGATGCATTTAAATCAAAATTTCGCTGATATCATCGCGTATTAAATTAAGACGTTAACGGCGTTCCATAAAAATATATGCAAGTCAGTGAACCGTAGCCGCTTATATCATTAAAAATTTTATCAATAACAGCAGAAAAATAATGTTCAAAGTCAATAAATATTAATTATATATTGCGAGATGTAACAAATTATGATGTAAATTCTTGTAAAATGAGTATCTTGTAATACTAAATGAATTGTATTTCTGTAAAGAATCTTGCTTACTAGAGCGCCTACGAATTAATACAATAAGTTAAATGGCCGCAAAAATTTATAATGTTTCAAATTTTCTAAGAATGCGTAAAAGGATGCTGCATCTAAGACAAGACTAGACTGACTCAAACGGCTGATTTTGCCGTATTTATACGAACTGCTCAAAAGTGGTTGGAATGGTAGAAAACGACCAACAACCAAAAAATGGTTGACGGCTGTCAGACAAAAATGATCGGAAACGATCATAAACTGATCGGACTCAACTTAACTTAAATGGAGGAAAATTTTACAATAAAAGAGCTATAAGCAAATACAATAATGACTATTTCCAAAAATTCTCTACCTTTTGTGATGTAATTTCTTTTGTACCAAAACTGAACATCTTCTGCCTACTAGTGTTTACAAAACTAACTGATTCAACAGCTATAAATAGCCATTAATGCAAAGTACAAAATGGTGGCGTACAGTAAATTTCCAACACATGGAAATTAATTTTCAAGGAAAATACAGTGAAATATGTGGATTTTAACAAAGTTACTTGGCAGTTTGTTAGAGAATTACATTATTCCTCTGAGGAAATCAGACTTTACATAAAAATACAAACATTTAAGGAATAATGACAGCTTAAAGTCAAGATTAATAGGATTGTTTACAAACAATTACAGCTAAAGTGTCACGGATAAGGATTTCTTACACATAAAGTACCATCAGCTAATACCATTGGTATAACCTGTTTAAATGAGCTAAAGTGTGTTGTTTAAATGTCAATGCACAGTTCATTTTTCATTTTATGCCTTGTTAAAATCAAAAAGTGGTATTGGTAGAAGCCACTAATAAAGTAAAGTTCATGTAGGTAAGTTTTCTTAATACATAATTGTTACACAGTTCACAGTTCAATTAATGATTAATGCCTGATATCTGAAACACATCAATATTGTCGGTCGGTTATTCGGTCGTTCCATCGGTCCGTCCACTTCATGGTTTCCGGACAATAACTAGAGTTTGGAATGAAGAATTGTAATCAAAATAGGTATATTCCAACCTTATGTTGAAACCCTGGTTGGCATTGCATTTGGACCACTTGAGGTCAAGATTAAGGTCACCGTTACAACAAATAGAAAAATGATTCCGGACAATAACTAGAGTTAGAAATGAGATATTGTAATCAAACTTTGTGTATAGCAAACTTATATGAAGATCCTATTTGGTATTGCATTTGTACTACCCGGGGTCAAGGTCACCGTTACTAAAAATGGAAAAATGGTTTCCGGACATAAAATAGAGTTAGGAATTGATATTGTAAACAAACTTGGTTTAAAGCAAGCTGATATCAAGATGCCGGTTGTTATTATATTTGGATCCCCTGCGGTCAAGGCCAATGTCATCGTTACTTCAAATATAAAAATGGTTTCCGGACAATAACTAGAATTGGGAATGAGATATTGTTATCAAACTTGGTGAATAGCAAGCTTATATGAAGAACCTCATTGGTTTTGCATTTGGACCCCCTGGGATCAAGGTTTAAGGACACCGTTACTAAAAATAGAAAAAGGTTTAAGGACACCGTTACTAAACATAGGAAAAATAATACACATGAACTGTCACTCTGCCTTGCCTATTTTTTGAATTATTGCCCTTTGTTTATTTTTACACTTCGAACATTGTCTTGGAGATAACCCTTAAACGACAAAGGGTATAAACAAGAAACTTTGAAGGTAGATAGATCTCATTGAGTAGAAGTTCAGTGCAAAAGAAACGTAAGTCTGCCTTGCCTAATTTTGGAATCATTGCCCTTTGTTAATTGTATTCGTTGAACTTTGTCCGGGACGAGAAGGGAAATTTAGGTAACTAGATCTCATTGAGTAGAAAATCAGTGTTAGAGAATTTCACTTTACCTTGGCTAATTTTAGAGTTATTGCCTTTTGTTTATTTTTAAACTTTGAAATTTTTCCGGGACATAACTCTCAAACCACAGGGGTATTAACAAGAAACTTTGCAGTTAGATAGATCTTATTGAGAAGAAATGCAGTACAAAAGTTACTTTGCCTAATTTAAGAGTTATTGCCCTTTGTCTATTTTTACACTTTAAACTTTGACCAAGATATTACTTTAAACGACAAAGGGTATTAACAGAAAATTTTGTAGGTCGATAGATCTCATTGAGTAAAAGTGCAGTGCAAAAATCAATAACTCTGCCTTCTCTTATTTTTGAGCTATTGCCTTTTGTTTATTATTAGACTTTAAACTTTGTCCATGACATACCTTGAGAACTATGAAAGGTGTCAACATGAAACCTTGTAGGTAGATAGAATTCACGGTGTAGAACTGCAGAAATATCCGGGATAAAGAACGTATTGCTCTTAGAAGAAGTCATAAAACTTCAATTTATCTTACTATTGTAGGACAATTAATCCAAAAACTTTTGAAAGAATAAACAAACTACTGCATTGTCTTTATGTGCAAAATTATAAACTTAACAGCACGTTTTTTTATTAGCGCCGAGTGTCGAGGGTATTCGGGATTTGTGACAATTTCTAGTTAAATAACATGTAATGCAAAATATTCTGACTGAACTGACTTATTGAGACAATAACAACACTATACATAGTATCCCAAAAGGCAAATGTACGCATTTTCATGCCGACGCCAACTTAACTGGTCGCTGGCAAATTGTCATCTCATATATCTCTGCTTTCCACCCAGGTACTTTACAAAATCTAATGTATTGATCTTTTGGATCGAGATAAGTCTAGTCTTTTCAATGACTACTTTTTGCATATTAATTATATAAGAAGTTAAGAATATGATAAATGATCCCAATCTGTTGGTAACAAAGAATTATGATCCAGTAAATTATTTATTTTATCACATTGGCGTCTGTATGAGTGAAAACTTATTTCAAGGAAATCATTGGTACGATTAATTTACATGTGTAATTAGTCTAAAAGTTATTTTGTTAAAGTTAATTAACTGGGTTACTATTTACGTAAACAAAGAAATATATTTTGCGCAATTATAGTTTTGAATGAATACATACATTGAACATGCATGTAGTTGTCGAGTTTTGTGTCATATGATAAATGGAAAATCGACTATTCTTATGGTAATATCCTTTCGTGCAAACAAATAAACTCTAAAAATGTAGGAATAGTTCAATTGGTTTCATTTTTTAATGGACACATTAAATTATAAATGTGTCGCATGTTTAACTTTATAATTGCGAAAATGAACATGAAAAAAAAAAATGAAAAACAAGAATGACACCATTGCGTTCTCAGGAGGTAAATGATAACCCCCTTCGGTATTATAAATAGTATATGACATTGTGTAATATTCGAACATGATCCCCAAGATAAAAAATATTTACACGGATATTACATGCTTGCAAATACCTAAAATATCGAAATATATCTATGTCCCCTAAAACTATTAATGAGTTTTTATTTTTTTTTTTGTAGAAATGATCAACCTTACAGAACATGAGTTGTTTCCCTTCAAATCAAATTAACAATGTTAATAATAATAATTCAATACCCAATAAAAAGTACGTTTTATGCCATTTGCTTATTGTTAAATTTCAATTTATGCACACACTATACCGACGTACTTTTTAATATTTTTCTAGTTGATGACGATGAAACGTTAGATCCATTTCTCTGTTCGGGGACAGTAAAAAGCATTAGAAAATTAATTGAATCAAGAAGGCTGCCAAGACAAAGAATACTTGATGAGATGTGCCAGATTTTTGGGAGGAAATCCAAAGCCATAATCGCCACATGCAAGGCAATTTGTGAACATATCAAATCAAAACATGTCGCTATTGCATATGTTTGGGCTGCTTATACAATTGAAAACCCACAAAGAATAACTTTTGTAATAACTGTGAAGCACAAGTCAGAAGGTAGCAAAAGTAAAGAGCCTCTTCGTTTAGAGAAATTGATCCAGTATTCATTTGTTAAACAATACGTTGGCGATTTTAGCTTAGAAGGCTCTGAGGTAATTAAGCAACAGGCTTCACATGCTGCGAAATTAGATGAAGAATTCTATCAAAATCTTCAGACTTGCATTTCAAAACACTCTGAAAATTTGATGAAGAAGCACAAGTATCTGTCAATTATATCTGCATGCTCAAATAGATCAAAAGGATTTGGCGCTTCATGGAAATTGCTTCCTGAAAAGTGTATCGTTTTCTATGTCCAAAAAAAGAATTATATTCCAATTGATGAAGAACCGTTTGAAACAAGTTATGACAGTATTCCAGTTGATGTTAGAGAAGGTGTCTTTATTCCGTACGGACATACTGCCGGAGAAAAGCTAAATCCTGTTAGGATGGGATGTCAAATAGGTGGAGATAGTTTTACAGGCACCCTTGGCTGTTTTATAGATCATCCTCAATACGGAGTTTGTGGGCTGACATGCGCACATGTACTTTTACATTCATTGAAGCTTGAGAAGTTGAAATCATTAGGTAGGATGAAATGGCCATTGCATGGTTTGTCCACAAATGTTTATCAGCCTGCTGATAACCAGTCTGTATTAGGAAACGTTGTTCAACTTATCTGCAAAAAAGGCTCAGGCAATACCTGTGGAATGGATGTGGCTCTGTTCAGAATCATAGACAGACAACCGAAAACGGCAAGTTTCCCTGACACAACGGCGAATTCGGGTATCAATTTTAATTATTCTTGTATGTTTTTGTATTTTGGTACTTTTTCTTATAAAGTGAAATAAGTACAATATTCATCATTGTAAGCTCACTAGAGCACTACGTTGTCTAGGTGAGCTATTGCATCACACACCGTCCGGTTTCCGTCAGTTTGCACTTCTTCAAACAACATCTCCTAAACGATATGGTCAATAATATCAAAACTTTCTTGAAATGATCTTAGTGTCATATTCTTTTAAAATTTTTAAAAATTCATTACATGCAAAATATGATTGTCATAGCAGCCGAAAGAAAATCATTTAAAAACCATTTCCTCCTAAGCAGTGAAAAGGTCAAACTTAGGTACGTGGCATGACAACATGTAGCTGACCTCTTCCAAGTTTTATCAAAATTTACTCTGCCCAAAGGCCTCATGGCTTTTCCTAACATATTTATTGCATTTTTTTTAATTGATCCTCTATGAAGCCTTAATGGTTAGAACAATCAAAGCGGCCTCTACTTCTTCAAATAATAGCCCCGGGGTCAAAATTGGCCCGTCCAAAGAGATCATCGGCTTTTCTTATATAATATAGTAAATTAAAGTCTAAAAAGTCATCTCCTTTGAAACTTTGGAGGCTAGAGCTTGGACATTTTAACGCATTTTTAAGTAAAAATGTTGGTTGCCACAGTCTCAAGTTTGAAAGATTTCAGTGTCTGTGTTTATGTTTGGAATATAAATATGTCGTTTTGAAACTAATCTCATGTCAAAATCAATTTTGGCTCCAATCCGTTCGTTATGTTTTTACTTATAAAATATATCTTACCGTTACAAAACGTGCTCATGGTGAGCTATTGTGACCGGGTTATGTCCGTCATGCGTCGTTAAATTTTGTTTCAAACAACATCCTCCTTAACCATTGTGCCGATGCTGTTAAAAATTAATTTTAAGCACGATTGTTATATTTAAATATTTAAAAACCTTGTTCCTCAAAACCACAAGGGCAAGAACTGTTCCTTTCGAACACATGGAACAAATTAATATACTTTCTGTAAAATTTTAATATAAAACATAATAAGACGAAGAGAGCAAAGGTTTGACCTTCTTTGTCAATGTCAATATCAAATGTCATCATTTTGTATCCAAAATTTCTTTTCTGCTCTGTCTCTTTTAAAAAGATAGAAATAAATTCAAGTATTCGATAGAAATATCACCTATAAAGACTTATATAGGAAAACAAGTCTCATTGTGTGAAACTATAATATCTAGAGAAAATACATCTATGTATTTAATGCATGTAGTATTGCCTTATTGACCTTTACAAAATTGAAATGAGTCATGATCCTGGGTTCAATATTGGCTCGGAACTTGGATATTTGCCATGTAACATCACTTAGGAACGACGACATCTATTTGTAGTTGTCTTTAAAGTTAAAATAATAATGACCGTAAAGTAAAACTTGGCTGTACTCCTTTATGCTGGCTAATGTATAGGAAAATATAGAAAAACAATATCCCTAAAGAAAAACACATATCTTTTTGTGAAATATAATAATGCCCAGAGCTTCTGTATTTTACAAAGGGTGTTGTCTAGTAGACCTCCATAAAATAGTAATGAATCATGCACTTAGGGTAAAACAAGCATGTCCCCACTCTGATCATAAGGATAATTAAAATAAAGCATGTTAAGACAAGTTTCTCGATCGGTTCTGTTCGCATATTGAAATATATTTTTTAGTTCCCACTTTTTTTCGAGGAAAAAGGTGGTACTGTTACAGTAAAGTCTGCAGTCCCGTTGCCGTCCGCAATTTAAAACGTAGATCATTGCTTATAAGTTTTTGGTTTATTGTCTTCATAAATGGCCACGACAACCCGTTGACAAAACCTTTAAATTCAACAAACTAAACTGGACCTTCATTAATAAGCAATGTTCAAAGGTATTAATTTTTCTTGAAATGTGCTGCCTTTTGTGGCTATCGTTATATTTTAGTATGTGAGAAGTTAGCAGTGAACAGTAAGCTAAGCAAAAAAGCATTTCAATTTATATAGGGAAGGCAATGATCTGCTGTAATGCTTAGCTGTTTTGGGCATCTAGAAGGGCATTCCTAAATAAAGTTTAAAAATGCTCTGCTGCAATACTCAGCTGTCTTGGCAATCTAGCAGAGCATTCCTAGCTATAGTGAAAAAATGCTCTGCTGGAACGTTCAGCTTGCTAGGCAATCTAGCAATGCAAAACTAAATAAAGTATTACAATGCTCTGCTGGAATGCTCAGCTGGCTGGTTAAGCTGGCTATGCAATCTAGCAGGGCGTTACTAAATATAGTGCAAAAATGTTCTACTGGAATGCTAAGCTGGCTAGGTTTTCTAGCAGGGCGTTACTAAATATAGTGTAAAATGCTCTGCTCGAATGCTAAGCTGGCTAGGCAATCTAGCAGTGCATTACTAAATAAAATGTAAAAATGTTCTGCTGGAATGCTCAGCTGGCTAGTTAAGCTGGCTATGCAATCTAGCAGGGCGTTACTAAATATAGTGTAAAACGCTCTGCTGGAATGCTAAGCTGGCTAGGCAATCTAGCAGTGCATTACTAAATATAGTGTTAAAATGTTCTGCTTGAATGCTAAGCTGACTAGGTAATCCAGCAGGGCGTTACTAAATATAGTGTTAAAATGTTCTGCTGGAATGCTAAGCTGGCTAGGCTTTCTAGCAGGGCGTTACTAAATATAGTGTAAAAATGCTCTTCTGGAATGCTAAGCTGGCTAAGCAATCTAGCAGTGCATTACTAAACATAGTGTAAAAATGCTCTGCTGGCATGCTAAGCTGGATAAGCAATCTCGCAGGACATTCCAAAATAAAGTATAAAATTGCTTTGCTGCAATACTCTGCTGTCTTGGCAATCTAGCAGGGCATTACTAAATAAAGTGTAAAAATGCTCTGCTGGAATGCTAAGCTGGCTACGCAACCTAGCAGGGCATTCCTAAATATGGTGTAAAAATGCTCTGCTGGAATGCTCAGCTGGCTAGGATATCTTTTAGAGGATTCCTAAATATAGTGTTAAAACTGCACTGATGGAATGCTTAGCTGACTAGGCAATCTAGCATGGCATTCCTAGATATAGTACAAATGCTATGCTTGAATGCTCAGCTGACTAGTCAATCTAGCAGTGCATTCCTAAATATAGTGTTAAATGCTCTTCTGTCTTGGCAATCTAGCAGGCCATTCCTTAATATAGTGTAAAAATGCTCTGCTGGAATGCTTAGCTGGCTAAGAAAGTATGCAGTGTATATTGTAAATATGCTCTGCTGCAATGCTCAGCTGACAAAGTGATATAGCTGGACATTCTTAAATATAGTATTAATTTTGCGTTATATTCCAAGCTGGCTAACCAACCTAGCAGAACATTCTGCTAAATAGTGTGAAAATGCTGTGTTTGCAGTGCATTCTGAATTATAGTATTATTATGCTCTGCTGGAATGCTCAGCTGACAGACTGATTCTTAATTCCAGGATTTATTGTTGCCAACGTTTTATTTTCGACTTCTAGGCACTTCTGAGGCACTCGCAGACATTCAGGAATTTTTGGTGCAACTAGAAATAATGATATTTTTGACTTCTAGGGACCTTAAAGAGACTTTTTCATTGTCCTGCGACTTTTTGATGGACACTCACGGGTTTCCAGGAAATTTGGTGCCAATGCTGATATTGACAATTAAGACTTCTAGGGACCCTCAAGTGTCTATTGTGTTGGTCTGCGACTGATTCTACGACACTCGCAGACTTTCAGGAATGGTTGGTGCCAATGGAAATAATCATATTTTGACCTCTAGGGACCGTTAAGAGTCTATTTCATTGGCCTGCGGCGTATTGTTGGACACTTGCAGACTTTCAGGGAAGTTTGGTGCCAATAGAGATGATGGCAGGTTTGACCTCTAGGGACCCGCCAGAGTCAATTGTTCTGTCTGCGACTGATTCTGGATCACTCGCGGACTTTCAGGAATCTGTGCTGTCAATGGAGATTATGACATTTTTGACTTCGAGCGACCCACAAGAGTTCATTTAGCTGGTCTGCGACTGATTTTGGGACACTTGAAGACTTTCTGATTTTTTTATGCCAATGGAGATAATGACATTTCTGACTTCTTAGGAACCGTCAGAGTACATTTCTTTGGTCTGCACTGATTCTTTGAGAATCCCAGACTTTCAGGATGTTTGGTGCTATTGCAGATCATGACGTTTTTTTAATTTTAAGGACCTCTTAGTCAGAAGCAGAGCATTTTTACTCTAAAATGTCATTATCTGCATTAGCACCAAAAATTCCTGAAAATCTGCAAGTGCCCAATAATCAGTCGCAGACAAACGAAATAGACTCTGGCTGGTCAAAAGTTGTCAAAATGTAATTATCTCTATTGGCACCAAAAGTTCTTGAAAGTCTGCGACTGTCTAAGAATAAGTCGCAGACCAAACAAATGGACCCTGGATGGTCCCTAGAAGTAAAAAATGTCATTACCTGCATTGACATCAAAATTCCTGAAAGGTTGCGAGTGACTCAGAATCAGTCGCAGACTTACGAAATAGACTCAGGTGTGTCTGAGAGTGTTCTAGAAACAGTCGCAGACCAACATGGACACTCGAGGGTCCCGTAGAAATAAAAAGTGTCATTATCTGCATTGGCACTAAATATTTCAGAAAGTCTACGAGTGCCAAATAATCAGTTACAGACCAACGAAATGGACTAGTAAAGGTTACTAGAACCCAAAATAAGCTATCAATCAATTTGTACCAACATCCTGGAAGTCTTCGAGGATGTCAGTCGAAGGCGCAGACAAAGACCAGTGTAATAGTTCTCGCAACAAAAATAAAATTTTCAGAGGCATAAGGAGTAAAAGATTATAAGGAGTAAAAGAGAAAAAATATCTACTCTGTATTTAACAATGCCCGTCTAGATCGCTCTGCCAGCTTGGCATTTCAGCAGAAAATAATTATACTTTATTTAAGAATGCCCTTCTTGTTTGCCTAGACAGCTCAGCATTCCGACAAATTTTTACACTAATTTCCAGAATGTTGAGCATTTTTAACACTATATTTAGAAATGCCCTACTACATTAAGGAATGTCCCGCTAGATTGCTTAGCCAGCTGAGCATAACAGCAGAGCATTTTTTACACTATATTAAGGAATGCCCCCCCACCCCCTTAGATTGCCTAGCCAGCTGAGCATACCAACAGATCATTTTTGTGTCCCACCTTTAGTGGCAGGCATTTAGATTTACCCTTGTCCGTCCGTCCGCACTCACAGGACAGTAATTATGTGCTAGAGGGACAATAGGTAACTGTTCTTTCTCTTTGATGTCATTCATTCCGTAATGCTTTTATGTGGCTATTTTCTTTTGTGTGGCTAAAAAGAACAATAGAGAGAACAATAGAGTAGCCACATAATTACTGTCCTGTGAGAACTTCCGTCCTTCCGTCCGTCCGTTTGTTCTCTTTTGTGTCGCACGTAACTCAAAAAGTATTTGACCTAGAGTCATGAAACTTTACAGGAAAGTTGATCAGCATGTGTAGTTGTGCACCTGGGTACTTTTTGTCTGGATTTTAGTATTTAGAGTTATTGCCCCTGACTTAGTAAATTTTTGCAATTTTCAACTTGTGTCGCATGTAACTCAAAAAGTATTTGACCTAGAGTTATGAAACTTTTCAGGAATGTTGATCAGTATGTGAAGTTGTGCACCTGGGTATTTTCGTCTAGATAGTTTTAGTATCTTAAGAGTTATTGCCTTTGACTTAGTAAATTTTTGCAGTTTTCAACTTGTGTCGCATGTAACTCAAAAAGGATTTGACATAGAGTCATGAAACTTTACAGGAATATTAATCAGCATGTGTAGTTGTGCAACTGGTTGTGCAACTGGGTATTTTCGTCATGATTTATTTAGTATTTTTAGAGTTATTGCCCTCAACTTAGAAAATGTTTGCAATTTTCAACTTGTGTCGCATGTAACTCAAAAGGGATTTGACATAGATTCATTAAACTTAATGGGAAGGTTGCTCAGCATATTTAGTTTTGCACCTGGGGTTTTGCTTGTGGATTTATCCAGTATTTGTAGAGTTATTTCCCTGGACTTAGTAAAAACTGTTTCGTTGTGTTGTTATTTGTTCCTTGAGTGCTTGAGTGCTTGAGTTAGAATCGACCAACCTTACAGGAATAATGATCAACATCACTAAATTACAGGAATAATTATTCACATCACTGTGAAGCTATAAACCTGGAACTTTTTTTTTAGTTTTGTTAGAGTTATTGCCCTTGACTTACAGTAGTATAAATTTGCATTTTCAACTTGGGGTTTGCTTGTGGATTTATTCAGTATTTGTAAAGTTCTTTCCCTTTACTTAGTAAAAGATTTTTAGTTTTCAAAAAATATTTGACCTAGAGTCATTCGTTTGACAGACCGACGTATTTAGATAAAAATAAGGAAACATAGCAAAAAAATAGATCATATTTTTTTTCTATTACGTTTCATGGAAATTTATAAGTGATTCCATTTACAACATTAAATTTCTAATCATTCTTTGAGGAATATCTTAACAATGAAACGTCCATGTACATATTCCATTTGGTACATATTGCACCGACTCAGCGGAACTCTTGATAGATTATACCAAAGTGTTTTTGCATCAGTTATGAGTTGTGAATAATTTGCAGAGCAATAAGATTATCTTTTTCTCATTTTGATATTTGCCATCACTTTTCTTCCATACCAAAATATATTGATAACGGCGTTGTTTATAATATGTCAGTTTTATCTTACGTCAGATCAAAACGCTTTATGTTATAATGTTCATTTTTATAACCAAAAGAAACATATACCGCGATGCTTAGTCATTGCTCGTGTCATTTTAGTACACTTAAAATACATTTACTTTCATTAGATGTTAACTTTATATTAGTAAACATGCTTATGGTTCAAGTTAAAATAATAACCTATAACTGTTTATCAACTTCCAATATTTAAAGTTATTCACGACTGTATTACAGGATCAGGTATTCAGACAATAAACTATGACAGCTGGCGAATGTGTTGTACAGATTTGCTGTATTTAACTCAGTATCGTGTGGTGAAATTTGGATCGAGAACAGAATTAAGAGATGGAAAGATAAAATTTGGTGGTATGGGAGTCAAAAAAATAAAGAGTTGTCCACTTTTTTCAGGATGTGCAACTATAACATTGTTTAACCAAATTGAAGTTGAAAATTATACACCTGGCCTTCCTTTTGCTGACCAAGGCGACTCAGGGGCACTTGTCTTCGTTGTTGACAACAATTCTCAACATACATGTATAGGGATTGTAGAGGGAGGTACAACATACGGGACAGTGGTCGTTACTCCTATTGTTCCTATATTAGAGGAACTTAACGTGCCTGGTTTAAAAAGTTTTGAAAAAGAAACGACTTTGTCGCATATCCATGATAACATAAATAACTTAGGAGCACATATAAACACAGTTGCTAGTGACGTTCAAAGCATGCATACTGATATTCAGGGCCTTCAAGGTAATATGCAGACTGTTTGCAATGATATTCAGGGCCTTCAAGGTAATATGCAGACTGTTTGCAATGATATTCAGAGCATCAACAGCAACATGCAAAATATGGGAAGTGCAGTTCAGCAAATAATACATCTTTTAAATCCTCCCCGCTAAGTTGCTGCACAGCAGTATCCATGATCGAAAGAATCACATGGCTTAAAACAATGACCATAATGATTATTTCGTGTTCAAATATTGCATCCCATGCTTTATGCTTTTAAGAATCTTAGTAATCAGTTTCGTATTTGCTGTTTGCTGTGATAGATTTTTGGGATTTGGTTCCTGTGTGAATATTATGTCTAATACAATGGTGAACAATTAAAGTTGGTGTAGTAACTGTATAGCTAAAGACACGGTACTCCTTAGTTACTTCAATATATTTTGTTAACGCTTGCTAAATGTTGTTTCCTAATGATTGTTAGACAGTATTTTTTTTCTTTGTTGTTTTCATGATATAAAGCCATGTTTTTTTTCTCCTATGATTGTAAAAACGCTGTCAACAGTGATTGCGACTTTTTGGATATAAAGCATTAAACTTTATGTTGAACTAAAACTTTTATTTAAGTTTTTATGTAGTTTATGCATAGAAATAACATAATTATGTTTCATATTATCAAACACATATTTCACTATGATACCATATTCTTTTTAAATACCCTTAAATTTAAAACAATGATTTGTATGTCCCCTTCGAAGAAGCGGGGTTATATTGTTTTGCTAATGTCTGTCTGTCTGTCTGTCTGTCTGTCTGTCGGTCGGTCGGTCGGTCGGTCTGTCTGTCTGTTCGTCAGTAGACCACAAGGTTTCCGCTGATAATGTTAATAACTATTTATCTCAAAGTCTTCATATTTCACATATTGACTAATCATGTTAAGTACAAGACCTCTTATTGATTTTTGGGTAACTAGTTCAAAGGTCTTGAAAACAAATGATCATAAAGTCTTTATATGTCACATATTGATTGTTAAACAGGTAGATTACCCCTATCTTTTTTTTGGTCTTTAGGTCAATGTCACGGGGATCTTAAATATGTCAGTCTCTCTATTGGTAGACAGCACATTGGTCATAAATAATAGATGACCCCTATCGATTTTAGGGTCATTAGATCAAAGGTCAATGTCACAGAAGCCTTTATTATTAGATTTCCGTTTTTTATCTTTGTTTTTTGTTTGTTAGTTTTATGTCCCCTTTTGAAGAATATATGGTAATAGTTTAGCTAATGCCGGTCGGTCTGCCAGTCAGTAGACCATATGATTTCCGCTGATTACCTTCAAAACTATTTATCACAATGTATTCATACTTTACATAGTGATTGATTATTACTAGAAATTGATCCCTATTGATTTAAGGGTCACTAGGAAGAAGGTCAAGGTCGCCGGGGCCTTGAATGTCAACATGGTTTCCGCTGATCATCTTGAACATTATTCATCACAAAGTCTTTATATTTCACAACATATTGAATAGGAAACGTAGAAGATGGCCCCTATTTATTTTGGGAACACTAGTTCAAAGGTCAAAGTCGCAGGGGCCTAAAATGTAAATATGGTTTCCGCTTATTGCCTTAAAAACTTTTTATCTTAGAGTATTCGTTTTATACATATTTGTTATTCATAATGGGTTCACTAGTTCAAAGGTTATGGTCTTTACATTTCACATATGGATAGGTTATAATTAGTAAATCATTAATTTTCTTTTTTCCATACTTGAACACTTCCATGTATTCATTTATGGCAAGTTCCTATAACAAAATTACCAATAATGTGAGTCAATGGCTAGAAGGGGGGCATATGTGTCGTTCGACATTTATTGTTTTTTTTTGTTTTGTTTTTTTTGTTATTGTTTTTATTAATTATAACTGTTAAGTGCGTATTAAACACAAAAATTGAAGTCAATGTAATGTTACCGTTATGTTTTTTATTACTTATTGATGTACGTTAAATGTTAAATGAATTAACCCTAGAACGGTGAATTTTGTTTTTATTTGTCCAGTTCAGGTGAGCTATTGTCATCACTCACATTCCGTCGTCAAGCGTCAACCCCACAGTACACGTGTTTTATAACAGACTAGCTCCCCTAAACAACTTCGTTAAAAATCTAGGCATGGTCCTAGGGTTTTAATTTCACGCATATGTGTGGTAACCTAGGAAATCCAAGGTAACAGAAAGAAATGTTTTTAGAATAACAACTCCTTTGAAATAATACATTGTGTAGCGAACCACTACCAAGTCTGTTTAAATAATAGCCCTTGGATCAAATTTTGCCTCGCCCAAGGAAGTCATGTGTTTCCCTTATACTCAAATTGTTTTTTTAACGGCTCCTCTGAAAGAATTACATAAGATAATGTTTATTAAGCATTAAATGTTATAACATTAAAAGCCATATCAAATTGCAAATTATACAAATAATAGCTAGATTTCATGACACTTTTTCTATTGGACCTCTAACAAAATTGACAAATTTTTAGTCCTTTTGGTCAAATTCACCCTGCTTTGGGGGTAATATGTTTTCCCTAAAATATAAGATGGTCCTCTTGTTCTAATTTTACTTTATCAAATTATAAAATATGTTTAGAAGTTCGTGCCATTTCATATTAAGACCTAATTAAACTCTTTTCAGAAATGTTATAAAGTGCGCAAACAATGGGCCTACTTTATTTTCTTTCTGATACTGATGAAACAAGATGTTATTGAAAATCCGAACAGACAGTAATGATGCTCATAAGTGAAATATTTATCATGTACTTTTGGTGTTGGTGTGAGGTTGATTATTTCAGACTCTTGAAAACTCTGATTTTTTTTGTATAATGTGAAACAAAGATTAAAGGATCAACTGCTCTGGTAGACTAAATAATTCCAGGAGAGCTCTGCTTTATAAATACATTTATACCACAGTTTCAACCATATCTTTATTTTGTAAACGTTAAAGAATCCGTGTATGTTTATCACACTTAAGGTGAATGTCATATAGACTTTTCATTAAAAGTGGCCAATAGACTAGATAGCAATCCAGTAAGTGAATAGATATGTACTTTTTGCGATAAAAGAAAAGACGAATATCATTTTGTTTTGTTTTAGACTGTGTTTTATATAACGGTCTGAGACAGCAATTTGTACCAACATATTATTATAGACGTCCAAATATGCAACATTTTGTTTATCTAAATACTGCATAATGCATTAAGTGTTCCATAAGAACATTTAGTACATATGTAGAACAATCGAACTTTAAAATTAGGCAATTATACTTTAACTTGACTTCCAATATTTAGGGACTCAAAATGTACGTGAATTTTGTGTCGCACGACTCTTATATGCTTTATTTGTTTATCATGTAGTTTTGTAAATTGTTATTCATTATATTCGTTATACTTTCGTTTTTTGAGCAAGCTGTGACTTGATTCATATTCATTTCATGTCCGAGTGATATTTTCAACCTATTTATAGACTTATACTATGCTTACATGTAACAGTGCATTTTGCGTTTATCATTTATACAGTTTATAACTATATGCAATGAAATTCATTTGTCACAAACTTGTCAGAGCAAGTTGTGACTGGACACAGATTCAACTTTCTAACTACTATATCTGTAATATGTTGTATATGAACATATAAGATTTTGATTGTTTGAATGTATTCTGCTTACTTTGTTACAAAACTAATGGAGGCTTTATCCTTCGCATTTTAATACAATATTGGGATGGCTAGGCGTTTGCCGATTTTTCGTGTGATTTTTTTTCTGGATTTGATTTCCCGCTCATGACTTTCTCTTTTTCGTACAAATTCATTAATTCGCGGTAGTGGTCTTATGAAATAATTAATGTATTTGATGTTACATTTATAATAAGTAAAACTGTGACTGATTCAGTCAACAGCGGTTAAGGTAGATATGAAAAGCTTTGCTGCTATTGTAATTAAAGTGATGACGTCACAATAAAATTGAAAATAACTTAAATATATAAGGTAAAGTAGCACGAAGAAAATTAAACGACCGCTATGATTTAGTGGTAAGCATACAGAAGCGGCAATTCAGAGATCTCGAAAAATTGAATCTTGACACAAATAATCGTAGTATATAATTATTCCGTGGTTTGTTATATCACGTATGCTTCCTAATACTTTCAACATAATTAGTTATGGTTAAATTACTGGTCTATTCTTTATGGACCAATTCACTTTGAATGTTATTTGTGTGTGTGTGTGTGTGTGTGTGTGTTTGTGTGTGTGTGTGTGTGTGTGTGTGTGTGTGTGAAAAATGACCGAAATTGAAAAGCGTTGTAACGCTTTCCAATAAAATCAGATTGTAAATAGCACAACCATACCATTTCAATTTATTTCTGAGTATATTTCTCATTTTTTTACGTCGAGTAAGTTTCTGTTTTACGCCCCCGTTGATCTATTGTAAGAAATTTAAATGTTAGGCCTTTAGGTGATTGGGCCTTAATTGAGTTTAATGTTATTTGTTGTGCTTGCTGTTATCATGCAATTATTTTCTGTTTTCTTTTTGTAACTGATATAAACTAAGTATATGTGTCCATTGCAGCTTAGAACATTTATAATGTATATGCCATATAGGGATCTTGATATACTGTGTACATATACAGTGCCATATAGACAGATTTATTATTACTTAATTGAAATTATTTAAACATTGCATAACCTTAAAATATAAAATTTGGTGTTACCAACCGCATTTTTTAAGTTACCTGTCCTCAAATTTGATCTTTGGTTTGTTATTTCAGTCAATTCTAGGACAAATTTCTTGTACAAAAGTCTTACAAACTTACAAACTAACAAAATGTACTGTTATTATATGACTGTCTTCGTTTTTAACCTTTTATTACAAGTCAAGATTTCATTGATTTTGTGTTCGCTTTATTCAATTTGAGGAAATTGACGGAACGTTCACTTTAAATGACAATTGGACTGGGTTTTAATTATGATGAAAAAAATAAGCATATGCTTAATAACAAGTCTTGTAATTTTGCACGGTCACACAAAAGGTAAATAAAAAGAAGAAATATGAGGCTATGCTCTGAATTTTAAAATTGTCGGTCCTTAAAGGGAGATAACTCGAACACAAGGTCAGTGATCCCAAAGATCCCAAATTTATTACGCTGATATATTTCTGTTATCGTATTGTAAGATCAAAGATTATGTGCATTATATTTTCATTATGTCGGTATAAAATTTTATAACATTTGTATATACTGAAAAAACATCAGCAACAATGCTTTAGTTGATTTCATATAGATTTGCATTTACTTATTATTTGTTTATTATCATAAATCAAAGAGTGTGTGAGATGTGCTTTTTGACTGAGCAGGGATCTATAAATTTAGCATATATTAGCTACAATGTGTCTGCCTAGTATTGTATGTTCTGAATAAAAAGTTCAATAGTTTTCGTTGTTTTATATTCTACAGTTTATTTTGCTTTGTTTGAATAGCATTTTGTTTACATCAACATTGACATTTAGTGATGTCAGTTATTTTGTATTCATATCAAATAAAATAGTGAATGTTATCATATTTTAGTGATTGTGTTATTGTTTACTGATTAATAGAAAAGAAGTATTGTATTGTATCATATGACTTGGTTTTAATGTATATATGTATGTTTAGTTAACATTTTTATAGCCATAATCATAGAATGTGTGAGAGAGTGTGATTTTTACTGACTTTACAATGTATGGATATAATAGATAGATCCCTATGTGTGTCTAACATATCTTAATCAAATCATCAGATTATTGAATATTAATAAGAATTTCACCACAATCTCTTTGTTAACAAAAGAGCACATGTCAATGTGTAGTGGTAAAATCTATTTATATTCTAATGAAATGTTAGAGTAGAGATTTATCAAGTTAGCATGTATGAGTTGCTTTTGACTGCCTGAGTAAAAGTTGAATCATTTTTGGTAGTTTGTTTTCCTTGTACCAAGTACAGTATATTGTGCACTGTTTTAATAGTATTTTGTTTAATTCTATTCGAAACTGAAGCCCAAATGAGTCATCACTTACAAGTGTGCATAGCAATGCGACGTTTCCCTCAATTCCGACTGTGTGCATAACTAAACTGACAGCCCTATAACAGAACTGTTCCTCTTCGACAATACTATGCCAAATAATATTTTTTATACAATTGACTAATTCATAGAATTCAAAAGTTCTACAGGCTCTCTATTAGCTGACAAAGAAAGATGCATGCCCACCAATGAGTCGCAAATATATCATATTAAAACAAAATGAAATTCAGTTTCAATCTCAGTATTTCACAGTTTACAGTGTGCCACAGTCGCTTTTTCAATTTGTATCTTAATAAGAAATTCTTGAATGACAAACATTTAAGGATTAACATGAATTTAAGCAATGCAATAAAAAGTTTTGTCAAGTGAATAAATCACCATCGATGTTCTCAAATGTTTATACGCATGAACAAATACATGTATGCCAAGCCATATGCAGTAATGTACGGAATTACCTATAAAAGTTACTTGTATCTTAAACTTTGTCATCGGAGTGAAATAAGCCAGTGTTGACTTCTCCTATACAGTTTTCTATACACGCTCTGGTCTGGTGCCGGCTTGCCGTGGCGTATTTCGTTAGAATTTTACTGAAGCAATAGAAAGCAACCTAAAACTCAAAATCTATCCGAATTTTGACCGAGGCTCGGGTCGCCCTTATTACAAGATTAACCTGTCTAAGCTGGACTCAACATTTTTATTGGGCCAACCAATATAGGCTAAAAGCCTTCAATTTTGCCGCAATTTAAAAGCAGCAAGAGTCGCTTTAAGCGCAATGTATGATCATTCAAAAATATAAAGATGTAAATTTTCATGCTTTCTTTTAATCAATCATATTTACGCTGACGTTTGATTTACTTTTATTCACATGTCTACTCTAAAGTAAGTTTTCGTTTGGTCATTAAAATAAATATTCATCTGATTGTTTGTATTTTTTATATTAAATTTCGGGTCATTTTATCCTTTCCGGTATTGAGTGAATTCACTCTCCAATGTGGACGTTCCCGCGGGTTTTTTTTCGCGAATAAGGTCAGACTCTCATATTGATTTTCCCATAGACTTACATCATGAGAAATGGTCCCTTTTTCTACCTTAAAATTGAGCTATTATGCTTAAGAGGTGACACATATAAATGACCTTGTTATATTGAGGTAGCCTACAAATTTTCTTTGCAAAATAACTTCAAAGAGAATATAAATGTATTCTTGTGGGGCGTCTGTGACCAAATGGATAAGGTCATTGACTTCAAATCACTTACCCGTTATCACTGTAGGTTCGAATCCCGAAGGGCACTTTGAATTCTTCATGTGAGGAAGCTATCTAGCTAGCTTGCGGATGTCGGTGGTTCTACTCAGGTGCCCGTTTATGCCTGAAATAATGTACGGAAAGGCATCTGAGATCTTCCTCTACTAGTAAAGCTGGAACGTCGCCATATTACCTATACTGTGTTGGTGTGATGTGAAACACAATCAAACAAACAAACATGTTTATTTTGAAGTGTCAAATCTTTTGTAACGCCGATTATTTAGGTTGACATATAAAACCTAGCATAGGGACACTACATGTTATATCTCTATTTATTAAATTCCAATTATCAATAGACATAGTGGAAAATGAGTTGATTCTTCAGGTTTCTGTATCTTGCACATGTGTTCCCAGGTCACATTATCTTTAAAAATGAGAAATTGTTTGGCTCAATGCCATTACTACTGTTCTATAAGTTTATATAAGGTCATATTTTGTATCTTTAGTACTGTTGTGTTGATAGGTTTTAGTATCATAGGACGGTCTTCATAGCTAAAACCATTCAGTTCTGGTGAAATTCTTGTCGCCTTTCGTTATATATTGCAGTAAATTGCATTGAATGTTCTTTTATGTAACTGAAAACTGATTTATACAGACACCTTAAAGAGTAAACATTTTATTTATTAAAAAATTATTTTGTCATTCCTGATTATTTAATACTTTTGTTAACCATCTCAAGAACATGAGTCATATTTTCAAAAAGTACACTTATATCTTTTTTTCTAAGGCTGATGTGGATTGGGCAGGGCTACGGTAATACTATGGTTATCGGTCATTATATAAGTAGGTTGCTAATCTAAATATATTTTGAACTATTTTACATTAAGGAATAGAAACTTTTATAAGTTAGGCGTTACTCCAGACACCAAATGCACGCCCGTTTAACTCACAACGAGTGAAAAATGTCCATCGGTAAAAATGTTGTGAGCAACTTCCGTTCCTCGTTGTGAGCACCCATCTATGACGAGTGACACGATAAACAAGGTGAGTTTTTCATAATTTTTGAAGATTACAGACATTTATGTAAAAATATCGAAATGCAGTTAGCTAGCGATGTGTTTTCCGAGTATGCACATGTAAAGATATTGCTTGTTGGTGGACAATTTGATGGAAATACCGTGCGACACAGTCACTCGGGGTAGCTGGAAAACTGGAGACAACTTCTCTTTGGACCTAATTTAAAATTGAAAACGTCGATTCTGGTGACGTTTTGTGCATTCTAACCTAAAACAGATGCCCACAAGTCTTCAGCGTAAATTATTATATGAAAGTCCTCATAGAAACGAAAATATACCCATTTTTGCTTTTGCATTTGAAAAACTCTTTTGAACTACATGGCATAGAAATAGCTGTACCTCATAGACAGCTTATCAAATGGCGTGTAGCAACTGTGAATATCTTAAACAAAAATCATAACCCAGGCCAGGGCCATGGATAATTATCTCCACTCCAGATGTAACTTCTGTAACTATTTAACATAGACCTTTGCACAGGAAAATTACTTTGTAAAATCTTCTCTTCACTTAAGACAAGGCTTATAACCTAGATATTTAGCATAAAGCATTGCTCGGCAAACGCTCAAATATAATAATGTCATTAACTTATTCAATGTTGGTCTTGTCATATATGTAAAAGTGTGTTCTCTTTCGGCGTCATTTAAAAAAGGTCAAAGGTCAATTATTTGATATGTAAGTTTTGATCATATGCAAAAATACAAGGGATAAAACACTGTAAGAGAAGTCTCTGAGGGGTTACCTTTAGTAGGCGAGTCATAAGAATTGTAGCCACCGTTTTTCCCTGTGTGAGCCTTTGAGGCAACTATATGGGTTCGAATTATTTGAGTATATACATCTAATAGCTCTTGCAGGTGAGGTTGGCCTGGCCCCTGGTGTTGCTTTGAATATTGTAACAACAAAGGTTAGCCAAAATCATCTTTGCTGATTCTGTGTCATATGACCTATACTGTACTGTTGCGCCGTAAAACCAGGCAAACAAACAAAACTACATGTATACATCAAGTTTAATAGCAGTAACAAACCTGTATCTAGAAAAGGCCTAAACAATCAAAATGTGAGTCAGTATTTGCTGTGGAAGGTTATAAAAGTAAAGGGTTATTCCGAACACTTATACATACATGCACGTACGTTAAGTGGGAAGGTTATAATAAAACATAGTAGGGTTATTCCGAACATCTATACATACGCACGCACCTTTGACTGTAAACAGAATTTGAAGAACAAGTCTACGTATAATACATGTATTTTATTAAATAATTATCTCCGATTAAGTATCATTAAGAGAAAACAAAACAAAAACAAAATAACAAAATATTATATCATGATAATGACACAAAAGTTGGCATGACTTTAACAAGTAGAAAAATATATTAAATAGGCATATTATATAGAAACCGTAATGAGAACCAGTACAATGAATATACCATTATGACAAATGTTTGAGACTATAAAAATGAACTTGAAATGGCAAACCTTTTTCGTCCACCTTATAATCTCAGCTTATTAAAGTTAATGTCGTTGTATCTAAAAACCAAACAAAACACCATACTTAAATGAAGATTACAATTGAAGATCTTCTACAGAATGTAAACTAAGGGAGGATTTGATGTATTGAGAACATACACAAGATGAATGTATTTAAATGAAATGTTAAACCATAAATTTGGGGAAAATGTCTGCAAAGGACGGACAGGTGTGTAGGAAAGAATGGCTTTAACATGAAAGATTTCACTGATGTATTATGATTATGTAAAGATAGATTTATAACGTTAGAAGGTAAAGAAATAAAGAAATTGTCAAAAATAAAATGGAAAAAACAAAACAAAAACAAAAACATATAAGACATGAATAATGATTTGAGACGCTGTTTGATACAGACAAAAATACGAGTATATAATAGGACAGAGACAGAGTCGGGAACTTTAAAAGGTGTAATCACTGTCTTGTGTTACAAGTGCACTTCAGTTACAGTGGTGCAGGAACTGTTCATATTAGGCACTGCCGTATCAAAAACAAGCAGCAACAATAGCAACATAATAAAACCACAAAAAAGCATTAAGTATTTTTGCCAAACAATATTCTTTTCATTCCAGCAAAGTTTCTCTCTCAGCCGTTTCGAAATAAAATGTATTTTAAAATGTTTTAAATTTCTTATACTCATTATTTACCCCCATATAAACTCAACTTGTACATTATGATACACACAAATTTGTAAATGATTATACAAATTGCCCTTCCTTAATCATTTTCGTATAGGTTGTATCCTCCTGTCTCGTTTTCAGATCTTTTCTCTTCCCCGAGTTTCTGTCTTCTACCATTAGCTTCCACATCTTGTCAAGTTTTTCGTTCATCTCCACTTGTAACTTCCATGCTTCCAGCTGATGTTCAAACTGTGATCGGTGATCCGGAAGTTGTTGACTCGCTACTCTGCGCATGCCCCAAGAGATTGCTCCCGGCGGAAGTTTCAGAGTATGCCATGGAAGACCGTTGATTTTGTTCAACAAATGTTGGTAAAAGTGGCTGGCCGACTGTTTTCTTTTGAAACGTTTCAGTCATTTCTGAAGATAAAGATATCACTCATTTTTTTATCTAAATAAGATATCCAATATGTATCAGATGATATATTTTTCAAAGTCCATAGCTACCTTAATTACTGTAAATACAACCTCTGAAAACTTCGTCTGGGAATTTACTATGTGGCGTATTGATCAAACCGTTGAAAAATGACCAATTGCTCATAAAAAAATCAAGGACTGATAATATTTGACGACTTTTTGATCAAATTGAATGTTTGAAAGGGGGTCGATTTTTCTTAGGGTCAAAATCTAATGTTTCACCGGCATCTAGTATTATATTCGTCTTATCTATTTGATTGGTAAATTTTGAATTAAAAGAATAAATACAAATGTTAGACTATCAATGTAAAACATAGACTATAAAGCTTATATTAACTAAAAAGAAGGCGGGACCTATTGTAATCCAATAAATTACACATTTGAGGGTGTTCAGCTTAAATACTTATGTGCAACATTTTAGTTTATTCACATTAGCATATTCTAGTTTATTTTGATCGTCTGTAGCGATCAACTTAATAGTTCATGTGCCCAATGCAATCCAATGTATATAACATTGGACTGTTTTCACAAAATTTATATCATATAATCACGTATAAAAGTATTAAATGTTACAGTTCATGATGATCGTCTGCTAAGTTTTTTTATTACCTTTCGATGTTTGAGCATCAAATTCTTGTATAATGTTCATCAATTTGTCAGCATCGTTTTCCTCCGACTGTGTTATCCACTGAGCAAGAATTTTGGCGCACATATCGTTGTCAAGGATATCCGAATGCTCAATGTCGTCTGCATCTTTTTTCCTGCCACGTGACTGTATTGTAGATTCGTTAACCCCGACAACCTCAGCAAATTCTTGCCAAGTAAGATTATCTATATAATAACAAAATGTTTTGTAATTAAAATCTCATACTGAACAATTATAAATATGACAATCCCAAAATTTTCTTAAAATATTTTCATTTGATTTTGCATACTTAGAAATTTTCGAATATGTTACTTGTAAAGTATGGAAAGGTTTAATTTTCTTTAATTAAAACTATAAATTTATTCCAAGGTTTTGCCGGCCCGCGTAAGGCCTATTCGCAGTGAATAATTGCTAAATATTTTACGAAATCAATTGACCAAAAAAAGGCAAACGGAAATTGATTGCTAAAAATAGAACTGAACGCTTACCGAATTTATTCACCAGTCTATAAATAGCGACACGTATAGCCCATGGTAGTTCGTCTGCAACTCGCACAATTCTCTTCCGGTCTATGACATGCTGGCGCATGCGTTCAATACCTTCTCTAATCACACGGTCGTCCGTACGGTCTGAGGTCAACGATTCGAGCATCTGTTTAACGTGACCTAGTTTGTTGGACGTGCTTTTGTCGAGCTTATCAAGCATTTTGGTACACATGTTGAGAGATTCCCTCATCTCCTTCAGCAAGATCTAAAATTACACAGAAACGCTTGTTTTTTGTTATTAAAGCGATGCAAGAACGCTGGTTCTGTTATTTAAGTGATGCATGAACGCTGCTTTTTGTTATTAAATAATGCGAAAACGCCCCTTTTTGTTATTAAAGTGATGCAAGAACGCTGCTTTATGTGAGAACGCTGCATTTTTGTTATTTAAGTGATGCAAGAACGCTCCTTATGTTGTTTATTCAAGTGCTGCAAGAACGCTCCTTTTTGTCATTTAAGTGATGCAAGAACGCTGCTTTTTGTAATTAGTGATGCGAGAACGCCGAAAAGAGCATGCATCTAACGTCACTTATATATAGTTCTTGTGGGTTAATTAATTAAAAGTTTTGGGCAGCGAAAAGAAAAGATAATTATGAATGCTACTTCAGCATAAACATTCTGTAGATATAATATTTGATTGCTTTACATATTAAGATATATATATATCTATATAGCACTACTACTGATATATGGTTACATAAAATCCTCAATTGGATAAAACCAATGACAAGCATTCACCACTCGCTGCCATATAAGTGAAAAGAAAAATTTTTACATATTTTTAAAATTAAACCCCTTTATAATGGTTGACATCGCAACAAATTTAAAGGCTGTATGGTAGGACCTATTCAGCATTATATACAGGATTTTTGGAACCCCACCCATGTATCCTAAAATGTAATTTAAATGTAATTCAGTGTCGATTTTTGGTTTTTTTGATATTTTTTACGAATATCGTTTATAGTACTTTTTTTGTCCTTTGTATTTGTAATAATATCTTTTTTGTCTTTTATCTATGTTTTTCCCAGCCCATTCAATCCAATCCCATATATTTCCCTTTAATCATTCCTTTACATCATTTTTCTCATAACAACTAATTTCTTATATTTCATTTGACATAATTTGCATGCCGGGCCTCCGTTTTTACAAACTTCCCGGAAAAACAATCTCACGCATGCATACTTTGATATAAATATTTCTCTTGGTTTGCGCCAGAAATTGTCTATCTTGTTTATTTATTTATCAAGGCGTATGTTTTAATTTGTCACGATTTGCACGTGCAATTAAAATTTACACATGTACATGTGGTTTTGTATACTGGTTGTAAATAGGGCTTAGTTGCATTGTGATTTGAGAGAGGAGCAAAGTGCTTTTTGCAAAATTCATGGGTTATTGGGTAAATGCCTGTCAGAAATAAACATTGTCTAGATTTAGTTTATGGAAAAATGCCGTTCCATATCGTACAATTGTCAGGTAGGTGTCAAATGTTTAAGGGAGTTAAGGATAATCTCCGTCCTGGCCGGCCAATTTCAGCTACCTCTGAAAAAGGCATCAGCACTGTCAAAGCCATAGTTGATGAAGATGCAAGATATATCGCGGAGGAGATCAGTGAAAATAAATTTATAACCCTACTTGCACTGTAGGCGGACGATTTTTTTTTAGCTTTTACTAAAATTTATAAACTGATTGCCACTCTATCATTTGTAGGTCAATTTCATATGCAAATATCTTAGTTTCTAAGTCAAATTTTGGGAAACAAACATTATTTCACGCTGAATGAAACTAACCAATTGGACATATGTGTATATCAAATTGTTGTTGTTTTCTATAACGTGGGGATTGAAATGACGTTGTGGTTATTTCTATACTTTCAGTCGAATCTTATCACGCCATTGTACAAGTACTGAAAAATATTCACGAGTTAGATAAGAACCTCAATCTTTTATATTCATAATGACCATATTACCTTCGGGGCTATAAGAAGGTGCTTCGCGAATATGTTTCATATCTATACGAATAGCATACTTCCCTGGCCGTATTCATTACTTTTGAAACGAATAATTGCCAAGGAAAGTCCACTGGACAGTTAAATGGCCCCGGCTTAATATTGCCAAACATTTTTTATCTTGCATATATCATAAATGGAATACAAGTTGATGAATAAAGAACACGAAGAATGATATTCAAATATTTATTTTTTAACTTCAATATTACGTGTATAATCGTTTATCTTTGTACTTCTCGAACAAACAAAAACCAAATATGACCAACATCCCTACAGCGCCAAGTTTACACGACCAAGATACCAAGTAAGTCAACCAGCCTGATTTTCTGGTGGATTTCTTTTCTTTCTTATATAAGCATAACTGCTTGAACTTGGGATGATTACATTTTTTTCTGGATGTTCATGATATAAGTGTTCTGTATCTGTGACCGGAATATATCGAATGGTTTTAAATCTTCGTTGAATTCTGGGCATTTCCATGATGTACGTCGGGGCAACGCTTGCTAGCAAATTACGAGCGTTATTGTCACACAGGGAATTATTGTTTTTGTTGTATTTCCAAAATGCATGATTTGTTAAATTATTGGCCAACTTTTCAATACTATATTCTATGTCATCAGTGCATATATTGAATGATAGTTCATTTCTTTTTTCTTTATTAGATATATTATCCGTGTCTTGTTTGTTTAAACGTGTTTTATCCGTTTCGTTATTTACTGCAAGAGTATTACCATCCTCCGTTTCGTTATTGACAGCAGTGTCTTTATTGATTTCATCACTCTCCAGTTCATCTTCAGCATCTTTTATATAGTTATAAATACAACCTTGAGACCTATGTATTTTCTCTTCTTTTATCAATTTACCATTTTCTGTTTCAAACTTTTTGCTTGTAACCCTCTCGATATTCATGTTTATATCCGCATCGGAACCTGGTAATTTATTTGAAAACTCTTCCATACCTGTGTCCACGGATGTTCCAATCTTGATTGGTTCTTTTGATAACGAGTTTACAGTTGCGCTTATGTATTTATTCGCTGGTTCCTGAAAGTCATGTACACGACGCGGAAGAACAAGATTCTTACAGCCTCTGTGTGGGAACCAGATTTTGTTTCGTGTGGTGAACACGGGTTTCCGAACCCAAATTGTGTCCGGAAAAATACGGGTTGTTACTGATTTAGACAATTTGGCTTCTGAAAGTAGAACAAAATGTTTTACGACCTTGTGACATGAAACAAAACGAAATATAACCCTTCAACAAATTTTACAAGCTAACTTTTATGTTTCAAATAAACTTACAGATTACTTTTACACTAGATCAGTAGTTTCATGGTTAAATACATTGTAGTATAAATAGAAATTATATGATATTTCAACAATATGAATCTGCCACCAATGTCCAGTGGTTGAACATTTTTAATTTTTGTGTGGTTAAAGAAAAAAAGAGAGATAGAAATTAAACTTAAATTAGACAACTATACAATAGCGGGCACCTATAATAATAATAATAACACCGGGCGACTTTAATGATAATAATAATATCTTTATTAAGAGAATAATAATATCTTTATTAAGAGAAGGTAACATAAGCAATTATATATATATTTTATTTCCAATGTGGCCTTCTGAAATGGAAAAAACAACAACAGCAGAACATGCATTTAGGAATAAAAATAAAACGGCTTTAAAACATGTATAATATGTATATTTTCTAGAATATGGTACCTCAATTTGTTTATTTAACTAAATTATCAGTGATTGACATTCATATACTTTTGGCAGACACTCAACCATTCGTTTAAACATACCGGTAATGTATATACATCATTCATTCGTTCACTCGCTCGCTCACTCACTCACTCACTCACTCACTCACTCACTCACTCACTCACTCACTCACTCACTCATTCACTCACATTCATTCATTCATTTTAAGATGTTTTGTATTTTTCTTTAAAACACTTAAGATTGTCAACATTGCGAATATGTGAATGTAAACTGTTCCAAATGTTTATGCCATGATAAGAAAATGTGTCTTTAATATAATTTGTTTTAGGTCTTGTCCCTAATACATTATCTTTTCGTGAGCTACTAGATCTTAAATTGTATATTTTGTTGTCTGATTAAGTTATCAATTCTGTCATTAATCTATAAATTTTTATTAATTGCAAACACAACATCAGTTTATTTTTCTCAACAAAGCAAAAAAAGATAAATGCTAGATAATGTATAAGAATATCATTCTTGACCATGACGTAAAACGAAATGTAGATTGTAATGAACTTGTTTTATTCTTCCGCATGTAAATGATTTGACTGCAACAACATTTTCTGGGACTTATTTATGTCTACATGAAAACTAAATTCCCATAGCGTTATTTATTAGCCATGATTGAAGAATTGTTCATTTCAGTCTCTGTCACACATATGTGTACTGACTATAATATGCCGGATGATTTTTGTCTGCAATGGTGGCATGGATAGATGCTTTAACCATTATCAGACTCTTTGAAAGTCAGTCGGCTTTCAGAAAAAAATCATTCTTGTCAAACAGTTTTAATTAATACGACTCATAGAATCCTTCCTTAATGATATAGATGAGGGTTGTTTGATAGGCACAGTAATTTTAGACCCAATGGAGGCATTTGATTTGATAGATCACAACATATTGTTTTATAGTTAAACTTCTCAAACACCTTAATAAAACTCTTTAAATAATATCTTGAAAATAGAACACAGTTTGTCAAATATGAAAATAATCATTCAAATAGTGGAACAGTGAAATCAGGGGTCCCTCAAGGGTTTGTATTAGGTCCTATACTTTTTCCTTTTCTACGTTAATAATATGCCATTTGTATCAACTAAAAAAATGAAGTGATTCGGGGAACCCTTAAAGTGAAATTGATAATAGGTGTAAACTAAACAACATGGCAATAAATCCGAAAAAGACCACAGGTGGCAGTATCATTGTTTGGACACCCCACCCCACCCTGCCTCTAGACCCCTGCTACATCCCTGAAAAAGAAATTCAACACTCTAAGGCCTACTATAAGATAACAAATACAAAACCACCGATAAAATTATAAAAAAATCCACAATCAAAATTAAAGTTATAAAAAGGTTGAAAGCCTACTACATACATATGTACAGACGATTGGGGGTCAGATTCTGCCCCCAACGTGATACGCCCCTGTACACTTTATCAAAAATATTTTAATATTTAAACA